TGTAAGATTAAAATAAAAATATATTTATATTAATATTAACTAGTTATAGATATTGTCGATATAAAAAGTTTTATAATTATATATAATATTTCAAGTAAATATCTAAATAGACTTACTTTAATATATATCTATTTATTTATAATTTACAATAGCTTGCAGACAAGTATCTAAATAATATTAGATTTAAATCTAATATAAAGATTTTTGAGTATTTTATTTTTTAAAAATATATATATATATATATATATATTTTATATTTACTAAATACAAGATGCTAATTAAGAGCTGTTTTTTAAAAATAATTAATAATACTTATTTATATTATAAATTCTTACTATACATAAATTATATTTTTAATACGGTCGATAAAAAAATTAATATTCTTAAAATATATAATATATTTTTGTTGCTTAAGATATTGGTCTGTTTTTATATTAAAAAAAATAACTAATATTATTAAACTTTAAAATTTATAAAAAAATTATTAGAATACTACTATTTTTTTATTAGTTAATATTATTTTTTAGACTTTTTTCTATTCTAGATGTCTTTTAAAAGAAAGATTAATAATAATATAATTAAAAAATAATTTTTAATAAAATGTTAATAAAAATTATAAAATTTTAAGAATACTTAGATTTTATAATATATAATTAATATTAGTTATATAAGAATATTAGATATCTGTTAAAAATCTATTAATATATCATATAAAAATATAATATATCTTAAAAATTTAATATAATTTTAGTAGAAAATATATTTTAATAGTTTAATATAAAAATCTGCTTTTTATAAATATTTTAATACTTAATATAAATAAAAAATATAAGAAGAGCAGTTCTTTAAAAAAATAAGAATATTATTTAAATAAATAATATAAAAAATATCTAATATATTATAAAAAGTTAAATAAATATAGTTTTAGAATATAACTAAAGTATTAATTGATCTAAAACATATAATTAAATATTTAAAATATTTATAATAGATTTAAAAAACTATTTTTTATTTATTTTTTTATTTAATATAAATTTGGTAATATATATTTTAAATATTTAATTTAAAAAAATATTTAGCTTCTGTAATTCTATCTAAAACTTTTAAAATTAAAAATAAAAAATAGTAATTTTTAATTAAAACTTTATTAAGTTTTCTATAATCTATATATAATCGAAAACCTTTATTCTTTTTTAATATAAAAAAAATAAAAATTTCTGCAGAATTTTTAAAAAATTAATTTTATTTTAATTAAATATTTTTATTAATATAATAATAAAAAAATTAGAGCTTAACTTAAAACAAAAAATAAATAAATCTATATAATAGAATTTTGCTATTTTTTAAATTAATAATATAGTCTAAAAATCTATAAAAAGAAAGTTATTAAAAATAACTAAAAAAAAATATATTTATAAAATTTTAGAGCTTAAAAAATAATATAATTTTATTACATTTAATTTATAAATAATTTAAAAAGGCTTTATTTTCTAATAGCTAGATATTTTCTAAAAGTTTAATAGTAATATAAATATAAATAAGATTTCAGCAAGCTTTTATAAAATTATAAAAAAAAATTTTTTTAATATTTAGATTTTATATTATTATAGTCGATTTTATATAGATAAATAAATATATAAATTTTTTAAAATAATTATTAAAAATAAAATAGAATTTTTAAAAAAATCTAACTTATAATAAATAACTATATAATATTTTATAAATAATTATATAGTTCTTCTTAAATTAGTAATAGTAATAAAGATTTTTTATATATTATAAATATTTATAATAAAATAATTAATTATAATAACTAATAAGACTATAAAATAGACTATATTTAAATAAAATTATTAAATAAATTAATAGCTAATAAGATTAATTTTAATATATAAATCTAAGTCTGTATAAATTTTAAGTATATTTTTAAAATAAATAGATATATTAAAATAAATAGTAGTTTCTATTTTAGATTAATTTATTAAAAATATAAAAATTTTTTAACTATTATTTTTTTTATCAGTTCTAGTTTAATTCTATTTTTATTTTTATAAAAATATTAGTTAACTAAATAGTATTTATTATTATATTTATAAGAATAAAAATTTTCTTTTTTAATTTCTTCTGTTTTAAGAGGATTTAAATAAAAAAAAACTTATTATTAGACTATAAAAATCTAGATTTTTTAAAAATCTTATTTAAATAGTATTTTTAGTTTTTTAAATCTTGTTTTTTCTTTCAGTTTAATATATTCTAATAATAAATAATAATAAATACTATTTTTTTTCGGAAGTCCGGTAGTTTAAATATATATTTATAAATATATTAATTAAATTTCGGTACTAGCTTTAAAAAAAAGATTAATATATATTTATTATTTTATTTAGATTTAAAATAATACTCTAAAATATTTAAATAAAAATAAAATTTTTTTAAATTTTAATTAATTTATTAGGAAGTTTATTTAAGCTGTTTTATAATATTAAACTCTAAAATAATTATATTTTAAATAAAAAAAAAGTTTATTAAATAAAATAATTCTATAATTTTTTAATATTTCGGCAGTTTTCCGGGGATTTTTTATTAATATATTAATATTATTTTTATTAATAAATAGAGTTTAAATAGCTAATTATAACTAAAACTTTTCAATTTTTTAATCGATACTTCCGAGAAGTTTTTTTAAAAATATATAATAAATTATAAATCTATTTTATTCTTTATTATAAATTAAACTAAAAAAAAATAAAGATTTTCTTAAGTTTAATTTTTTTTATTTAAAAGATAAAATTAAGCTAGTATAATATTATTATAATTTTATTAAAAATTTAATATCTTTATATTCTGTTTATAATATTTAAATCTATTTTTTTAATTATTTTAATTATTCTAATTAGTAAATAGTAGCTTGTACTTTTTAAATATTTATTTAGATTTAATAATATAATTTAAAAATAAATAAAATACTTTAAGATAATTTTAATAAAGATTTATTAAATAATATATTACTTTTTCTTAGATAACTAAAAGTAAGAAGAATTAGAAATTATTAGAAATTATTTAATATACTAAATATACTGGTTAGATAAGATAAATAAAATAGTTAAAAATAGTTTGTTATTAATTTTAAAACTAATTTTTAAAAAATCTTTTTCTTCAAAAAAATCTCAGAATAATATATTATATAAAAAGAAGAAGTAAGTAATATAATAATATAGATATTTAGATTAAAATTTTAATAAATCTATATTAATCCTAAAGCGGCTGCCATAGTAGTAAATATAGGCTGCTGTAGCAGTAGGTATTGTATAACATCACCTCACTTTCACACATAAGTTGTATGGAAAAGTGAAAGTTAATTGAACCTTATTTGGTAGAACTGAATCTCGAACAAAACTATTTATAAATTAAAATTAATCTCATAAATTAAATTAATATTCTTATCATAATTCTTAATCTTTTAATAATTTATAATCTATATAATCTATATAAAAATAAAATAAAAGTACAGACACAAGATAAAAAAAGACAATAATATTAAAATAAAATATCTACAATAATTAGAAATAAAATAAGAAATAAGAAATAAAAATAATAAAAAGCTAATATCTCTTAGAGATATATAAAATATATGTCTAGATAACTAAAAGATATACAAATATCTATATACATAAGATTAATATTTATGTTATAGAGTATAGTAATATTATTAAGAGAAAAACTATAGAACTGGTAAGAAGAAATTTCTGCTATTAAAATAGTTAAAAAACAGAGCCAGAGATAAATAGCAGAATATTTATTATCTTCAACAAACCGGACATCACAACTAAAGTAGTATAGAAAACAGTTATATAGATAAACAGCAGAATATCATCATAGCCAAATAAACAGATAATTATAAATACACATATTCTTTATAGAAATAAAAATATATATAATAAATATAATCTAATAGATCTAAAATACAAGATTAATATTAAAATATTTTTAGAAAGTATAAAACTACTGTTATAATAATTAGTAATATAATAAGCAAGTCCGAATAATATTAATACTATATATATATAAGCCAGTAAATAAATATTTTGAACTATTTTAAACTAATAGATATATTGCTTATAATATAAAACAAAAGATATATATTATTAAAATCATTTAATACAAGAATTAGAAAGATAGAAACATGAGATATAGATTTGGTAAGAATAAGTTATGTATAAGTTAGTATAAATAGATTATAAAACAAGAATAAGAATAAAGTAAAATAAATAATCTATAAAAATGTATACAGATATAAACAGTAGAATATTAGAAAATACAACCGCAAGAAATCAGAAGATATTAAAATAAAAATAAAAAACTAATGCAAAAAAACCTGGGATTAATGAAATAAAAAAAATAAAAATAATATATCTATAAGAACAAAAAGTCTCTAAATTATTATAAAAAGCAGAACATACTATCAGATTATTACAATATTCGCTATACACAAGGATTATATATGTTAATATAAATATAATTAAGATAATCAAGAAAGAAGAAAGTCTTTGAAAGTTAAGACCGCTAAAAGCTGCCCGAAGGCGGAAACAAACAGCAGAATATCAACATCACAAAAACCACAAGTCTTTACACATTTCATAATTATTAGATATATTATTTAAAAATTGAAAGATATACCATAAAAATATTATAGAAAAATAAAAATATATTCTAGTATTAATATGATTTTATATATTCTTAAGTATACAGCTGTTAAAAGCTATAAATAACCTATACACCGTACAAAAAAGAGTTGTATATATAGACAGAAAGATAAAAACAGTAGAATAAGAAGACCAAAATACCATTAGCGACAATCCATATATATAAAGATATAGACTATTACTTTTAGAAATAATATATTTTACAATATCATACTATTACTGATAGAAGACAAAAACATTAGATGATAGATAATATCTAAACATATCAATACTACTACCACACTTAAGCACCATATTCTGTATTATAGTATATTAATATGAAATGATTAGTAAAATGACAAAGTACTAACTACCATACCACTTTTGCATAGAATAGGCTGAACTTAGGTAGATGCCACGGAGCACCCCGAGCCTATTGTAGGTGCTAAGTTTAAGTTTTTCCGCCCCTCTGTAATTGAAAATAATGGGAACACCTTCGTCTGAGTTTGTCCCACATAGCACCAACCCTGAGGCATACATCTGGGCTTCCCAAAGTGATTGTTGTGCTTTCAAACACACGAAGTACTACTCATCAAAGAGATAGATTCACAGAATCTTAGGGCGTGTGCACTGTTTCTCAGCCGGAGTAAGCGACAGCTTTATCCGTTAGGTGCCTTGGAGTGACAGATTACATAAGTATCCGTGCCGAACTGGCTATAGAAGGTATGGGATACTCCAGCCCAACTTCTGGACATGCAAAGCGACAAATTATAGACTGACTTATTCATGCCATGAATAAATGAAAGGCAGCCACGGCTCAAACAGCGGGTCCAGCCTCAAGCTGACCGAGTGTGCGATTATAACCCGGTGACCCAGTGACCACGGTACGGCGCTCAGGGCCATTCACACCGCGGCTTTGCCTAGGAGTCCGCGGGCGAAAAGGACCTGAAGAGAATAGGCCAAGTCTGCTGCTGCCTCGACCAGGCCGTAGCGCTATTTCAGCTGTGTTATCTATATCGTGGCCGTCGTCAACGCCAGGCCTTCGCCATTGTCCGAGTCGGGAGAAGGCGGTCCTGAATGTCGGTAGCACTTGCCGTGCGCGCGGTGACACTGTAGGAGGCCCAGCGCTACTGATTCGGCCTCCACCCAAGAATACAGTTTGAGGATAAGCTGGCACGATGAGACGACGGCCGGTGCTTTCTTGGTCGATGGCAGATTCACGAGTTTCCGCACGTGGCTTGGGAACATAGTAATCCGCCTTGCATAGTGGACAACAAGCTCTTCTACCTGTTAGCCAAGGGTCGACACATGAGGCATGAAATGCATGGCCACAGGTGAGCCCACGTATGTCATCATCGTCCTCAATAGAATCAAGACATATGGCACAGGTGTCACCAGGATTCGCCAGAAGTTCGGCGGGAACAGCCGTACGTATTTGATTTCCGACGTCGTCATCGTCATCGTCCGTGGGCTGGGAGGACGGTCAGCTAAGAGCAATATTTTCCAAGGTTTGGTACTTTCCCTGACATGGGTTTGAGTTCCGACAAATCCAGAGCTCCCCTTTTCCGCTTTATCTAGGGGCACCTCAATACGTGGGAGTTGTTCTTTGGTCCGAGACACAGCGGATTCAAGCTGTAGATTATCGTTCAGCTGTGGTGTTGGCGCGGCAAGCGCGTCAAAAGATGCGGTAAAGCGGCCATGGCCATCATCTAGGTTAGGATCACCGACAATGGAGGCTGCTACACCACCAGCAGTAGAGAGACCTTCGTCAGCGCGGGAAAAGCGCCAAGCTTTGTATTTGACGAGTGGGAAACGCTCGTTAACCTCGTCCATACTCATCAACTTCTTTTCGCGCCGTCGCCGATGTGTCCGAGGCATGGCTAGTAAATCTATGGGTTCCCCTGATTCTTCACCGCGAATTTGTCGGTTCCGCTGATTATATCGGAAACAATACTTGACTCCAACGATGATCCTATAGCAGCGATTAATCCCGCACAAGTATCCCAGCAAGAGCGACAGGAGCACACCATAGATTTGTAAAAACAACACCGAACCCAAGTGCAACAAAGAATAGCAATGGTGAGCTTGTAGGGCTGGTATTGTTACTGGCCCCATTATGATCAGTGTTGGTTGCACTGGGAGATGAAGTAGTTGTTGTCGAAGACATCTTGTCCAAGGAAATGTAATAAAGTTAAAGGTATGAGAGGTATTGCCTCTCGCAAATCAAGAAGGCAAACCACGAAGAGTCAATTCAGAAGACAGTCCGTATAATCATGGGAGGGGGGAGGATTCCTTGTATGGTATTAATCGAGTCAAGGCTACGCCTTCAGACTGACATTATAGTCTCAAAGGACAAAACCCACGGTGGCAATGCAGCTCATCTAGGCGGAGACCACAGGGGAGGAGGGACGGTGGAAGAAAAGAGCCACAGTTCAGCACTGATTCAATTCAAGGTAAGAATCTGAAAACCCTGTCCAGGCATGGAGGAGACATGGATCGTATGCGCCGTACATTTACCACTGGAACAAGATCCTAAGGGAGGGTTCCTCCACACCAGGCTTGCAAATGGCTGAGGTTGCAACAACAAGTCACGAGACAAGTAGTAATATGATATTAGTTAGAACGGTGCCGCAATGACTAACTTACAGCCGGCCTGTAGTTAATTACTGTACCCATTTATGTAGTCAGCAGGTTTTATCCTTCTGTTCACCTCGCTACACCCACAGTCGCTAAACATCCCATTACAACAACATGAGACAGTAAAAGAACATTGAGGCGATTTCGGAAAAATGCTCAGTTTATGCCGGTTAGATAATGTACTACTCATATAGATCGGAAAGTGTAAAGTGGGGAATGATGCAAATTTCCCAAGGCTAAGACCAGAATGTACTTGTTGGTATTCCGTAGTTCTGCAATCTTGAATTCTAATGTCTTGTGCGTGTTAGCGACAAGCAGAGTGAACTCAATACTACAAACATAATTCCGCCCAGCTTGGTTTGCTCCATATAACAAACGCGGGGGAAAGAGAATTAAAGTCAAGCATGGAGCAGGACACTAGCTTCCCCCATAAAGATGCCAACCCAGTGGTTTTCTTCGATGTGGCCCTAGGAGGTAAGTCGGAGAGGAGTGTTTCTAATTTGTATAGCCAAGTCACACCCATGAGCTGGGGCAGGCTCACCACGGAAGTACCATTTATGTTTTAGGTCAATGTCAGGTTACTAAACGAGGAATCTAGGGGAGCCTCTAGGTCGTATCAAGATGGAGCTTTTTGCGAACGTCACTCCGCGCACAGCAGAAAACTTTCGTCAGTTCTGTACTGGAGAGAATAAAAACTCCCAGGGGCGATCCCAAGGATTCAAGAATTGCAAATTTCATCGCGTGGTTTGTCCAAATTCGAGTTTCACCTCTTGTGTTCCAGAGCTGACTTGACTAAGATCAAAGATTTCATGATCCAGGGAGGTGATTTTATCAATGGCGACGGGACAGGTTCCTGTACCATATACGGAACTCCGAGGTTTGCCGACGAGAATTTTTCACTTAAGCATAAACATGCAGGCATGCTAAGCATGGCGGTATGTTTCTAAACCTTTGACGTATAGCGAGCTTGACTACTAACAATGCAGAACTCCGGCCCTAACACAAACGGGTGCCAATTCTTCATAACCACTACTGCCACCCCGTTCCTCGATGGTAAGCATGTTGTTTTCGGCCAGGTGGTGGACGGGATGGAGATCGTGCATATGATCGAAAATACACGCACAACCAGAGACAAGCCCAACCAGGATGTTGTCATTATGCAATGCGGCGAGATGTGATGAATTGTAGTTCGTGCTGGAAAGCAATTACAAAGCTTAAGAAACATCCGTACTGACCACTTTACAACATTCAAGTATTTGTGACTAAAACTGGGAGTAACGTTGAAGAATTATGCTTGTCAAAGACATGCATCCCTCGTGGGAGGGAAGGAATGTGAACAAAAGCACAAGTAAATCTGGCAACTTTTGATGGCCAAACATAAAACTGTAAACATTCTAGAGTTTGAACTTAGTGATATAGTCGCATGCCAGATTTATGGCTTCATCAACCTTATCAGGGTTCACGCCGTTGCCAACAGAAGTGGGACCCTTGCCTCCAGCCTTGCCTCCGACTGCACTAGACACAACAGTGGCCCACTCCGTGGCAGAAGCGCCTTGATCACTTGTTGCCTAATGATAAGCATTCAAGTTAGCCGCACAAGAAGGAACTTGTCAAGAAAGGAAAGCGAACGGCAGAAGTTGGGTTCAGGGGGGAGCGTCTACCTTAGAGACATGACAACCATGTGCTACACGGCCTTGCTCTGGGCTTGCAGCCAGGACATAGACGGTTTTGTCAGACAATTTTGCCTTGACATAATTAATCGCTTCGCTGACAGCCTTAGCGTTGGCGGAAATAGGAAGCTGAGCCACAAGCCAAGACTTGTCGCTGTTTGCTGGGTCCTGGAAATAGCTAGTAACACTTTCGACAGCGGTTTTGGACTCAAGCTTCTGCTGCGCCTTTTGGTCATCGAGAATCTGTTTATTGATGCGAGCGAAGCGTTCTCGGAAGCCAGACTTCTGGAGAGCTGAGATTGACAGCTGATTCAGCTCCGCCTGGATCTGCTTTGCATCCTTCTCTTTATCCGAGCCAAGGGGCATGGCCTCAAGGCGATCGAGACGCTTCCTAAAGTCCTCTGCAAGGCGCTGTACGGTGTGCGCATCTTCTCCAGTGACAGCAATGATGCGGCGAATCCCTTTAGCGATACCTCCTTCTTCGAGAATGATGAGGTCCTTGATATCACCTGTTTTCTGCACGTGGGTTCCACCGCAGAATTCAATACTCACTTCATCCCATCTCGGATCTTTCACATTTTCTAGGATCTCTCCAATCTCCACTCCAACAGAGACAACACGGACAGGATCGGGATACGTTTCCCCAAATACGGCCCGGACTCCTGAAATTTGGCGAGCAGTAGCGAGAGGAACCTCTTGCGAGTAGACCGCACAATTTTGACGAATATACTCAGTCGATATCTCCTCGATTCTCGCCAGATCTTTGTCCGTTATAGGCGATTTGTAAGAAAAGTCGAACCTAAGCTTTTCGGCCGCAACAAGGGAGCCCTTTTGCTCGATACCGTCACCCAATACTGACTTTAGCGCGAAATTGAGGATATGTGTGCCCGTATGATTATTGCGAATTGGCCACCGACGGAGTTCGTCGTACTCGCAAATAACCGTATCTCCAACAGCTAGTGACCCATATTTCATGAAACCTGTGTGAAGGACATAGCCAGCATAAAGCTGAACATCACCAACCTCAAGCTCGGCTTTGCCATCAATGATAATTCTGCCGGTGTCATTCTCTTGCCCACCCTGCTCCGCGTAAAAGTTGGTGCGGTCAAGAATAATTCCAAGTTGTTCACCGTCGGATATGTCTGCGGTGGACGAGTGGAATGCTTTACCTTGATAGATGGCCTTCACTTGGGCGTTGATGTTGCCCTTGCCAAACTTGGCCGTATCGTCGGTCTTGGTAACGTCACTCATCATTTCTAGCTTGCCCAAGTCATGAACGTCCAACTTGACTGTATCGGCTGCCGCTTTTTTTTGGCCCTTACTCGCTTCCTTCGCTTTGAGGCGCGCCTCCTCAAATTCCCTATCGTCGATCTGCAATCCACGTTCTTCTGCCATGATGCGGGTTAAGTCGACAGGGAAACCGAAGGTATCATACAGTCTCCAGACGTCGGCGCCATGAAGTTTCTCATCCCCTTTGGCCTTGGCTTGCTGAGCATAATGTTCAAACTGGCGCTCACCACGATCGAGTGTCTTTGCGAAAGACATCTCCTCCTCGTCAAGGATTTCCATAACGTCAAACTGCTTTTTCTTCAGCTCTGGGAACATGTCGCCGAGTTGTCTCACAATAGTAGGGACAAGCTTCGAGAAAAAGCTTCCAATCTCCACCTGGAAGTACTTGCGAGCGTAGCGTGCCCCTCTACGCAACACTCGGCGAATAACATACCCACGGCCCTCGTTGTTGGGCATCACGCCATCTGAGATAGCAAACATCAGGGTACGGACGTGATCTGCGATGACACGGTACGCAGTATCTATGCCGTCGGCGTCGTCGGCGCCAAATTTCCCGCGATATTCGCGGGCTCCGGTGACATCCTTGATAACCTGGAATAGAGGTGAAAAAACGTCCGTGTCATAATTAGACAGCTTGTCTTGCAGTACCGATACGAGTCTCTCGAATCCCATCCCAGTGTCGACATGCTTGTTGGGAAGTGGCCGTAGAGACCGGTCTGACTCGCGATTATACTGTATGAAGACGTTGTTCCATATCTCAAGAACGTTGGGGTCGTCTTGATTGACAAGGTGGGCAGCATTACGTCCACCAATACGGTCATAATGGATCTCACTGCAGGGTCCACAAGGGCCTTGATCACCCATTTCCCAGAAGTTGTCCTTCATGTTTCCAGGAAGAATGTGATCTTCTGGGACGCCCACGGATTTCCAAAGCTCCTTCGCCTCAAAATCGGGCTCCAGGCCTCCTTCCTTATTGCCTTCAAAGTATGTAACGTAGAGGCGCTGAGGATCCAGTCCATATACTTTGGTCAACAACTCCCAGGAATAGCAAATTGCCTCTTTCTTGAAGTAGTCACCGAAACTCCAGTTACCGAGCATTTCAAAGAAGGTCTAAATAGCAGTTAGTGATTAGCATCGAAGTATGTGATCGTTCTAATTCGGGACCCTTACATGGTGATAACTGTCCTTGCCAACATCATCAAGGTCCTAGATTCAGTGGAGTTAGCAAGTCTGTTTCGATAATCGAGTGCAGTTATATAAGATTGCAATCACATTGTGTTTTCCTCCGGCGCGAATGCACTATATAGTAGAATGATTAGCACGGCAAGGCGCAGCAGGGATCAGGAAAGCATCCGCCACCTTCTGAGAGTTGACTGCACTTCTAAGGTTGGCAAAGTCGGATTGAGGATCAACTGTGCCCAAGAAGATAGACTTGAACTGGTTCATTCCAGCATTGGTAAATAGCAGTGTTGGGTCGGCGTGAGGCACAACAGGCGACGAGGGAACTATGTGCGCCCGGGAGGTATGAGCTAATTCGAAATGTTTTCACCAGAGGAAGTCATATTGCTCACCAAATGTATGGCCATTTCCCTTAAAATATTGGAGAAATGTATCTCGAACTTTTTTGGACGTCCATTCCACCGTTGGCGGGTCGCTTGAAGCCATGCTGAATGATCTTATGTTGAGCTTTCCTGTTGGTTTGTTCCAAGGCGGGGGTGTGTGAAGGTGGTAGAATATTCTGGGTCTTGACCTAAAGCACGATAAAAGATGAGTCAAAGCCAGTTCCCCGTCCCACGAGAACCTGTGGATATTCATCAAGAAATTCGCTCAGTTAATACATCCTTCTTCATCCAGCAACAAATAATGGGCTCGTTTGTCGCTTGACTTTCCGTGTCTTACGTCCAATATAAAGCAAGTCAAGTACCCTGTAGCTGATGGCATTGCAACCTGGTTGTGTGGGCAATTATCGCGGGAAAAAGCGCCCCGCAGAAACTGATCCTGACAATGACCAGCCTTTGACAAAAAGGTTCAGTCACCTACAATTAAGTAAGTACATGACGCCTACCCTTAACGCGATGAGCAACATTAATTCCGGGAAATACTCTGGAAGATCATGTCACTGATGAAAAAAATGTTTCTAGCTCCTCTGACACTTCAAGATGACACCTTGGGCCGGCCAAAGCTCGCCACGTCTCATCAGAGCGATCGGATGATGCTTGATGATACCAATCATACAATTTACATACATGACTTGGAGATGGAGCTACAAGATCTTGAAAGTTTGGACAATGAAGTAACATTTCTGTCGGGTGTGGTTGATACACTGTCTACAGTTCCAAGAATGCTGGTGGCCGACGACCAGGCTCACTGTACAGAGCTGGTACTTTACAGTGAGCCCGTACCGCTTACAGCTCCAAAAGAAGATGATAATGTCCGCAAGGCCCTTGTTGCTACTAGGGAGCGCGCCCGGCAGAAACACCATATGAAGCACGGTTCCCTACAACCTCATCAATCAATTGTCCCGAATCTTGTTACAGGCAGATGTGATGGTATTACAGATCCGATGTGCTACAATGAGAGAATGGAAATTGACACAAACAATTAATACCTACCAACACGGTGTATTATATGATACACCGGTACCAAGCTAAATCCCAGGGACTATTGCTAGACAGATACTAGAGGCGGTAACATAGAACCGGGCCACAACGCAGAACCGGGCCACCCGCGTTTCCACCAAAACACCCATGCAACGCGTTCTTATTCAATAATTTGTATAAAAACAATTTTAATTTTTTTAAAATAACCAGTAAGTATTAATTTATATATAAAAACATATAACTGACTAATACGTAAGATTAGAGATCTTTAAATTCTAAGACTATTTATAAAATTGCTTTAAAATCCTTATTACTGTTATACAAGTTCTTCTTATCTCCTAAATTTTTTTATGTATTAGATTATACAAGTTTGTTTGTATTATCTTTTTCTATACTAGGTACTATAAACTGGAAAAAATCAAAGCTGGAGTTTAACTACTTATATAGAGAAAATTAATATAATAATTAATATTATTTAAACCGGTAAATTTAGTATATTATGGCTATTGCTGATATATTTACCGTCTGACGGCTATTATTCCTACTATATATTATTTTGAACAACTTTATATTGTTAATTTTTATAATTTATTATACTTTATCTATTAGTATTCCAGTTTTTATAGATTTTCTTTTTGAAATGATTAATTTTAATATACTTAATTCTATAATTTATTTATGTTAATTAGTAGTATACTTTATTTTTATTTTTATTATCTAAATTTTTAGTATATTTGAGATTTTTTATTTTTTATTTTTAATATTATATCTATACATCTTTTTATCTCTTATTTTATAAATAATTCTAATTTTATTAATTTCTAAATTATTTTTAGTAAGCCGTCGGTTGTCTTCTCTTTTTCAATAATATATTTATTTATTTATATATTTATGGATTCTCATATTTCTGCCTTTTAAAATTATTATTAATATTATCTTTTTTATTAATATAAAAGACATTTTAGTATCTTTTATTTAATTCAAATAATTTTATTTTTTAGATATAACTTTTATTTTTTATACTTATTCTGTTTTTTTATTTTATATTTTCTATATTTATATTTATCGGGTTTCTATTAGTTTATTATCTTTATTTATTTTTTAGAGAATAATTATATTTCTATAAACTAATTATATTGATTTTTTATTTTTTAAATATTCTTAATTTTCTATTGAATTTTTATTTGTAGCAATTTGGTTGGTGGATATTTAGGTGGTATCAATTCTGCTCTATTTATCTGTCTTAGCAAATTCTTGTATGTAGAAACTTCTATCTAATTCTATTTATAAAATAATTATCTTAATATAATTGATTTTATTATACTTCTACTTATCGGCTGCAACTATTATAGTTGGTAGTATATCCGGTAATTTAAATATATCATACATATATTTCTAAGAATTGTATTAGTTTTTTTATTATTTTTTTGTTTCTGTATTTACTTTTTGTTATCTTTATATTTTTTAAATATTCTGTAGTTATTTTTTATATTTTTAAGATTTTTCGGTCGCGTCGTGGTTCTGCTAGTTGATTTTTCTTAATTTTTCTGTTTATAAATCACTAGATACTGCAAAAAACTTTTGATTATATAACTAGCTAGCCGAATCGAGTTCTATATATATATATTTATACTAAATCTAAAAGTTATATTTATTCTACTTTTTAAATTTTTTATTATTTATTATTTATTATTTTTATATTTTCTGTTTTTTATCATTTTTACTTTATCTTGTTATTATATTTTATTTTTTAGTATTTTATTTTTTTAAACATATTCTGATTATATTATAAATATAACTTATCCAGACTTTTTGTCTGTAGTATTATTTCTTATTTATATATTTTAATCTTATAAATTTGTCAGTAATATTTGTTAAAGTATTATAAAATTATTATTAACTATATATTAAAATTTATATATTAAATAGTTTATTTTTATTATAATCTTTAGCTATTTTATCTGTAGTATAAATACTAGTATTTTATTTTATATTTATTATATTATTTGTTACTATTTATTTGCTTATTTCTAATAATATTCTGCTGTTTGTTTGTATAGCTGTTTTTCTTACTACTTTAGCAGTAGAACTTTAGACCTATTAATTCTTTTTATTGTTTATTATTTCAAATAATTATAATTATATTAATTAATTATATTAAACTTTATTTATAGTATATATTAGTATGTTCTGCAGCTGTCCAGATATATTTTTAATATATTCTAAGAAATATACTATTTTATTTTTCGTCTTTACTAATGTCTATGTTTTTTAAATATTTTATAAATATTTTTTTTATCTTTTATATTTCATAATTATAATTCTGCCGATTGTTATAATTTCTGTATATTTTATTTTTTTATTTTATTTTTTATTTATAGATTACCGGATTTGCTAAATTCTGTTTTAGTTACTTAACTAATTAAACTAAACTTTATATATATTTATTATCTTTAAAAAATTTTTATTATTCTATTTTATATTTATTAATTAATTATATTATATTTAACTATATTTATATGTATATTTATTAGTCTTAATATATTTCTATTTTTTTATTTAATTATTTATTATATTTAAATACTTCTGAATGTATATCTAACTTCTATAATCTTAATATCATTAAGTTTATTATTAAAAAATTCTAGACTGGTTATTTATAACACCCGATGTTAATATATTAATATGTATATCTGGTTTAAAATCAATATATTAGATTATATAATTTTATATATCTTTAATTAGTATGTATCAAGAATAATTTAATAAAAATATTATTTTATATTTATTATATTACATAATATTTCTATTTTTCTATTTACTTAAAGTTATTTATGATTATTTTTTTAGAATATTAACAGATCTGTTTTAACTAAAAATATATATATATATTTTTAAAAAGTCTGATTATTTCTCTAAATCCGAGTTTGAACTGTTTGTACAGTAGTTTTAAAATCTAACATTTTAAAAATATTAACTAATTATTTTAAACTATTTGTTTTTCTAGTTAGATCTATTTAAAATCTATAATTTATTTGTCGATATGAATCTTTTTTTATTTATATATTTTATTAAAAATATTTATTAATTTGTTTTGTAGTCGACTTAGTTCTAAACTATAAATATACTATTAAAAATTATTTTTATATTCTATTAATTCTTAATTATTTAGACTTTCTGTATTTTTATTTTTTAATATTAATATCTTTAATATATATAAATACAAGAAACTAATTTTTTTATATTTTAAAATTAATAATACCAAACGCGAGAATACTTTTTTATCTCTAAATAAGAATTTAATTATAGCTGAAGACAAATTAATAATTCTAAAATAAATTTATAAGAAATAAAATAAACTATTTCTTTTATATATTATTTTATTATTTTATTCTTGTTATTTATCTTTCTGGTCTATATCCAAGTTTAATATTTTTTATTTTTATATATACAGTTTCTTTATGTAGCATTTTTTATATTCTAGATTTTCTAGATTTAATATATTTTATTATAGTTAATCTAGAACGAATCTTTTACTTAATTTATATATAAATCTATTTTTATAAACTTTTTTTAGTATAGTATCTTTTAACTAATTTTCGTAGTATTAATTTTAATATTAGTTTACTAAATATTCTGTCTGTTCTATCTATATTAATATTTGTATTTATATTTAGATTTTAATAAATATAAATAACTGAGCAGCTTCAGTCTATTTATATTAGTAATATTAATACTATTTTTAAATAAATTTTTAATTATTTCTTTATACTTAAAAATAATATTTAGAATAATTTTTAGTATAATATATTTTCTTCTATTTTTTAGTAGTAGTAGTGGGCTTTTGTTTAATAATATATTTAAAAATCTTTTTTAATATTTATATTCCGATAATCCGAATATTATCTACTGTATTATTTATTTTAAAAAATTCAAGCCTGAAATTATTGGTTTCTTTTATTCTAATATAGTAGATAATAAAGTAATAAAATAAATTAGTAAAAATATATATTATAAAAATATAGTTAAGTACTGTTGAGCATTTAATTAAAATAAACTTATAAGCCTTTTTTAAAATATTATATTAATCTAGTATATAACTAAACTGTTAATATTCAAAAAGATTTAATATTATAAATAACTCTTATTAACAGCTAGTTTACAAAAAAAAAGATTAAAACCAAATATATTTATAATAATAATAAAGTTAGATATTATATATTACAGCTTGTCGAATATTTAAGCCGGGAAATATATTAATTAATTTACTTAAAATATAATATATTATACTTGTAGTAGTTAAATAAATAATATATTTAATTAAATTATCTATTTATGAAATTATTTTAACTTCTATTTACTAGTATAATTAAATTAACTAAAAATATAATTCTAGATGTATTTCTTAAGCAATTCGATCAGTAATAATATAATTAAAAAAATCTTATCTATTTCATAAAAACACTAATATTTACAATAATTTTAGATTTTGTAATTAAAAATAATTCTAAAAAAAATTATTAATTCTAAAATATACGGAATAATACTAACAGCAGAAATTCCCGGAATAATAAATTAAATGATCAAATATTATTTTATTAAAACTAAAATTAATATAAAAATTGTAATATTTTTTAATAATCTTAATAGTTCTAATTATATTAGTAAAATAATTAAATATATTAATAACTGTATTAACAGCAACTATATTAGTAAAACTATAATAATTAGAATATGTAATAAAACTAGTGTTTTTATTAACTATTTTTATATCTACCTCCGAACGTGAATATAACTATAGATAATTAATAGTTATAAAATGAACTATATTGATTTTAGAATTCAGTATAAAATTAATATAGTTAAACTA